TGACCCTCCCCCATTCATGCTCTGTCTCTCTCTGTCTCAAAAATAAATAGACGTTAAAAAAAATTAAAAAAAAAAATAGATTCCAGGGGCTTAGTCTTTTATTTCTGATTTCCTCCCATCCTGAAAGTTGTTTTTATATCCTGTGTTTTCTCTGCATAACCGTTTCCTTATCATTTTGAAGCTATGACAGAGCTTTGAAGGGTGTCGCACTTGTTTTGTCTCAACAGAGTTCAAGAACAAAATGGAGCGAGTAAAGCAGTGAGGCAGCACTGTTTAGCAATTAAGCCTAAGTTACAAAGTGGTCAGGAATGATAAGAATGGGAAATGTTATCCAAACTGTCCAGTGTTATGGGAAATATAGGCTTGTTCATTGATATATACAGAGATTCCTCTTATAACAATAAAATAACAAAACGCTCGGGCTTTTTACAGTAGTATCAATCATTCTTGCGTAATACTTATGTTAAAGTATCTTACAAGCAATTTTCTTTAAATTACATATTTTAAAAACAAACGCGTTGCCTCGTGAAACTTGCCAGCCGTGGTAAGAATTTTCTGATCCTTTCAAAAACAAAAGCTGATGTTTTGGAACAACTCGTCAATTGTGTTGAAGAACTATTCTTTTTTTTCTACTTTGCTTTGTTTCCTGAATTTTTATGGTACCTAGTTATTAAGCTATTTCTAAACAGCAGTGGAAGTTCTTCTTCTGGAGTCATGTTTCTAACAATGGTGAAACAGTATTGTTTCTGAGCTTTTTCTCTTCATGTTCCAAAGAGAAACCATCTGAAAGCTGTTTTTAAAGCCCATCTTATTATTTGGGTGCCAAGTTAAGTGACATACACGTGCTGCTTCCTACTCATGGACAACGGCAATACAATCAAATGGGGCATGCTTTTTTGTTCAAAGAACATTTGACTCTAGAGTTTGCTTCTATTTCACATCAGAAACATCACCGTCGATAAACAGAACAATAATAACAGCAACACAAACAGGCTTGGCTCGCCTTCCAATTATTATTAAAATTTAAGAAACTGATGAAAAAGTTCTTTGTGCTCCCAAGGCCAGGACAGTCTCCTGAACGCTGGCTTCTTCAGCTGCCACTAAGAACTAGTTCATGGTTAACTATGAACTTACACTTTCAGGTAATATTAATGATTTTAAAACACAGGGTAAGTACTCATGTTCCAAGGGATGTGATGTGAATGATTCTGATCCCTTAAGGTTATTTCATCAAAGCTCACTCTTGCCTTTTGCAGCCCTGCTAAGGTTACTGTCCTTTAGTATGCATCAATAGATAAACTTTCAATCATCTTGGAAAGCACATCTAAAAATAGCATGAGAATCAAAAGGCAATGGTATATCCGGTAATTGTCCCAAATAACTAATTTTGATAGGATTTTTTTTAATTTCGGATGAAACAGAAACCTTAGGAAATGTATTCGTTTTGCTAGAGTTAAACTCTGCAGACGTACCCAGTGAAAATGACCAACCTACTTTATTTCAACTTGATATTCCTTTCTTTTACAGTGATCATAACTTACTAAAATCATTTTTGCACATTTTGAATAAATGAATCATTTACAAGAAAAAAAAATGTAAGCCAATAAGGTGGAAGGATGCCCTTTTTTGTTTTTTAAATAATGATTCTAAATCTAGAGCATTTCAGTTTTTAATGGGCTTTTATCATGTATGTTGACTAATGCCAACAATGGCTGAGCTCAGCTAACTGAAAGGAACCCATGCCTTACAGCGCATGTGCATGTGTGTGCACGTGCGTGTGTGTATGATGTTGTGTTTGTGGTAAATTCCATTTCCCATGACTCCCAAAATATTTTCGGAGACCTCCTCTCAAGACATTTATTCACGTTTTTTCTGTATCAATCTAATCAAATTTCCACTCATGGCACATGTGCCTTCTTATTTTCTCAACTCTGTATTTGATAATCTCTTAAAGAAAAAACCCTAATAGAAATTCCCTGGAAATAATTTACAGGACTAATGAATTTGTAGGTCTTTTAGACAGTTCTACATTACAGTCACATTAATATTCTTTCCTTTTTTATAAGGCTTGAAGTAAATCCCATGACACTAGAAGAATTTAGATACTGATTACTTGCGATTGGTTCCTGGTGATTTGCTCTTAATAATTTCCAGTTGAATTTAATGAAAGTATGATTCCTGAAATGCTGCTTCATTAAAATTGCATCTTTCCCCCTTTAAGTGTGGTTTCGGTCATTTCACCCATTCTGCGTTGTGTTTTCCTGCCCCCCCCCCCCGCGCCCGTTAAAAAGAAATGATTGAGAAAGCAGAGACAATTAAGAATATCACTTCAGTCCCTCCTAGAACTCACCCCCAGAGTTTCTCCGACTGAAATGATGCAAGCTGTACTTCATCAGGATTTCACAATTTTTTTCCCCACTGATATTTTTCATAGTTTTAAAAGAGAAACACAGGAAGATTTGGGAGGAGTAAGGGAAAGGAAAGTGAAGAAAGAATCTGTTGCATCTGCAGGAGAAGTAGAAGGTCTTTTGTATTTTTATTTAAAAAAAAAAAGCGAGAGCTTGATTAAGTTATACCGTGCAGCATTCAGACTTAATTTAACTGAGATGGTGATTTGCAAATGAATATCTACATGGATCCTTTTTAAAAATCCAAATGCAAATGAGTACAACTGCAGTAAAATATATTTGCAAATGAATCCTGTTGCTTTATTCATTTATTGTGTAATTACTGCAATCCTTCCCACCTTGTTTTCAGTATTTCTTAATCATTAAGTCGGAAGCATGACAGCAGTGCCAGCCCTGGCATGATTCTCTTTGACTAAAACCTTGTAAATTAACACAATTAGCACAGCATCATCCTGCTAATTAACTTCCAGTGTCTGGTGCAGTGGTTTTGCAAACAAGGAAGAGGGAGTCAGAAGGGAATCAACATGCCATTCTGTTACCAAACTCTGTGCTGTGTTCAGTTTAGCGCAGCAAGTCAAAGCTGGCCATGTCAGAAGCCAGAGTCAGGGAATGAAGAGCTAAAGGGGTTGGAGAAGGAAGGCAGAAGGGGGTCGGAGCTGTCAAAATAGACTGCAGTAATTCAGAAGGGAGCTGATGCCACAGATGCTTCACTTAGACCAGGCCTCCTCTTTATCCAGGAATCTCTGCCAGAGGGCATAAGACAGTTCACAAAATTCACTTTGGGTAACACAAAGGAGATGAAGGAGGCCTACTTAATGTAGCTGGCCCAGAATAGGAAGTGTTGGAACCGAGCAGAGATTGGAATGGGGTGAGCCAGCCCTGGGAAACAAAACAGGGTTCTGGTGCTCTCCTGTAACCAAGTCTATGTGAATCCCCGAGGGTACGTTATAAATCCCTTTGGGTGCGGGTTCCCTAATCTGTGAAATAAGGTCATTTCTAAGGTCTCTTTAAACTGTGAAATTCAAGTGATTCTCTGATTCTGAGCAAATACTCTTGCTTTACAGTTTGCTACTTAAGTCACCTTGCTTCAGTTAGTAATCTAGCAGGTGATAGAATTACCCATAGCATCTCATTATCTGGCTGCACTCTTTGAGTTTATGCCACACACTGCTTCCCACAGAAATGTAGAGAGAATCCAGATTCTCTCCCTGTTCTCTATTCTTATAAGAAACAGGTCTCTTTCACCTGTTTCCTTCCTCCCTCCCCCTTCTCTCTCTCTCCACACACAAACACACATAATAGGTATATGCATATATAGGTATATGTGCGTGGACATATATGTGTGTGTGTGTATATATGCATATATATATGTAGGATATATATATATTTGTAGGTATTTGTACGTGTGTGTGGATATATATGTGCATATGTATCCTCCCCTCTTAGCACTGGGAGACTGTAAAGCAGAGGGAAGGATTATAGGAGAAGGAGGGAGAATGCCAGCTGGAAGACCGACAGACAAGTGATGCTTGTTTTTTTTTCCAGAGACTCAACAACAGAACTGAGAGGCAGAAAGGAGCCAGTTGTAATTCATACCGAGTTGTAGGCTTTGTGCGATGAAAGCGATGGAGCGCTGCCTGGGAGATTGCTTTGCTGCACTCCACGAAGCAGATTTGAAACTGTCGTGGAGCACTTTAGATGAGAGTTGGATTATGGAATGACCTGCTATGTCTGTGTCATATTGTTCTGCGCAGGGAGCATTATACTGTGCTAACTAGGTGTTCAGTGCCAAATAAGAGAGGGGTCCTAGATGTGATCTGTCAGCTGTGTCTCATTTTTATATTGGTTAAAATATAAAACAGAAACGCTGATGTCAAGAGACGGAACAGCTAGCTATTGCACATGCTTAATAGTATCACGTGCTAGATATTGAAAAGACATGCCTATTTCATTGTAAGAACCTGTGACTGAATTCTAATTTGACAGGAAGGTGTGTGTACATATAGGTGTGTTCCTGCGTGTGGGTAGCGAGTAACTTGATAGGCTTCACAGAAGCAGATTTGCTTATTACTTAAAAGAAAAAAAAAAAGGTCTTCTACAGAGTTCTTGTTTAAATTCGGTTTACTTTTTACACAGGACTGAACTTCGGTCCATTTTATTTATTTATTTATTTATTTATTGGAGACAGGGAGAGACAGAGCATGAACAGGGGAGGGTCAGAGAGAGGGAGACACAGAATCTGAAACAGGCTCCAGGCTCTGAGCTGTCAGCACAGAGCCCGACGCGGGGCTCGAACTCACGGACCGCGAGATCATGACCTGAGCCGAAGTCGGCTGCCCAACCAACTGAGCCACCCAGGCGCCCCAACTTCGGTCCGTTTTAAAGCGTACCTACGGTACGGATCGTAAGAGATACGATGAACTGTGAGAATTCTTTATAATGTCGATGTCGTTAGAGAGGAATAGGTAACGAAAGAAGTTGGGGGAAAGCTTTAACACTTCTGATGAGTATCTCTGTAAATTAACGTTTCTCCCCTCCTCGCCCTTTCCTCCCCAACCCCCCCCCCCAACCCCGCAACCCTCAGGCTTGAAGATGCAGTGGACGCCGGAGCATGCCCAGTGGCCAGAACAGCACTTTGACATCACCTCAACCACTCGGTCTCCTGCCCACAAAGTTGAAGCCTACCGAGGTCATTTGCAGCGCACCTATCAGTATGCCTGGGCAAACGATGACATATCTGCTCTGACTGCCTCCAACCTGCTAAAAAAGTACGCAGAGAAGTATTCTGGCATCCTAGAAGGCCCCGTGGACCGGCCCGTACTCAGCAACTACTCGGACGCGCCCTCGGGGCTGGTGAACGGGCGGAAGAATGAAAGCGAACCCTGGCAGCCTTCCTTGAATTCGGAAGCTGTCTATCCCATGAACTGTGTCCCGGATGTCATCACGGCCAGCAGTCGGTTTGAGTCGTGTTCATACCCTCCCTGGGCGTATGGAGACAGTAGATGGACGGACCTGTCTTGCCAGCATAGGATGGATCTTCCTCCTGATCTGGGTGGCCAGCAACCTGATGAAGTAGCTACTGAGTAGCACTCATGAAGCCAATCTGCGTCTAGCTCACGCAGGGTCTGCCTCAGAATACACTCGGATAACGGTTTATTTGCATTCGACGCATTCAGTGCTCAGCCGGACATGCCTGCTCCTGCTCTCACCTCACTCCTCCCTTTTAGAAGCCTGTTCTGCAGTTGCCTCACGCCTTCCCCCCCCGCCGCCCGCCCTGGTCCCGGGCTACAATGGGACCTCTAACCTCTCCAGTTACAGTTATCCCCCCGCCAGCTACCCGCCTCAGACTGCCGTGGGATCTGGGTACAGCCCCGGGGGCGCGCCGCCGCCTCCTTCAGCCTACCTGCCTTCAGGAATCCCTGCTCCGACCCCTCTGCCCCCCACCACTGTTCCTGGCTACACTTACCAGGGCCATGGTTTGACACCTATCGCCCCCGCGGCTCTGGCCAACAGTTCGGCGAGTTCTCTCAAAAGGAAAGCTTTCTATATGGCAGGGCAAGGAGAGATGGACTCCAGTTACGGAAATTACAGCTACGGCCAACAGAGATCTACCCAGAGCCCCATGTACAGAATGCCCGACAACAGCATTTCAAACTCGAATCGGGGGAATGGCTTTGACAGAAGTGCTGAAACATCATCCTTAGCATTTAAGCCAACGAAGCAGCTAATGTCCTCTGAACAGCAAAGGAAATTCAGCAGCCAGTCCAGTAGGGCTCTGACCCCTCCTTCCTATAGTACTGCTAAAAATTCCCTGGGATCGAGATCCAGCGAATCCTTTGGGAAGTACACGTCGCCGGTAATGAGTGAGCACGGGGACGAGCACAGGCAGCTCCTCTCTCACCCGATGCAAGGCCCTGGACTCCGTGCAGCTACCTCATCCAACCACTCTGTGGACGAGCAACTGAAGAATACCGACACGCACCTCATTGACCTGGTAACCAATGAGATTATCGCCCAAGGACCACCGGTGGACTGGAATGACATCGCTGGCCTCGACCTGGTAAAGGCCGTCATTAAAGAGGAGGTTTTATGGCCAGTGTTGAGGTCAGACGCGTTCAGTGGACTGACGGCCTCACCTCGGAGCATCCTTTTATTTGGGCCTCGGGGAACAGGCAAAACGTTACTGGGCAGATGCATAGCTAGCCAGCTGGGGGCCACGTTTTTCAAAATCGCTGGTTCTGGACTCGTTGCCAAGTGGTTAGGAGAAGCAGAAAAAATCATCCACGCGTCTTTTCTCGTGGCCAGGTGCCGCCAGCCCTCGGTGATTTTTGTCAGTGACATTGACATGCTTCTCTCCCCTCAAGTGAGTGAGGAACACAGTCCAGTCAATCGGATGAGAACGGAATTTCTGATGCAGCTGGACACTGTACTAACTTCAGCTGAGGACCAAATCGTAGTAATTTGTGCCACCAGTAAACCAGAAGAAATAGATGAATCTCTTCGGAGGTACTTCATGAAACGACTTTTAATCCCACTTCCTGACAGCACAGCGAGGCACCAGATAATAGTACAACTGCTCTCACAGCACAATTACTGTCTCAATGACAAGGAGTTTGCACTGCTCGTCCAGCGCACAGAAGGCTTTTCTGGACTAGACGTGGCTCATTTGTGTCAGGAAGCAGCGGTGGGCCCCCTCCACGCCATGCCAGCCACAGACCTTTCAGCCATCATGCCCAGCCAGTTGAGGCCCGTTACGTATCAAGACTTTGAAAATGCTTTCTGCAAGATTCAGCCTAGCATATCTCAAAAAGAGCTTGATATGTATGTTGAATGGAACAAAATGTTTGGTTGCAGTCAGTGATAACTTCTTTAAAAAAAAAAATGTAATGAATGTTGGCACACACACATAAAACCTGCTACATAGGGTATAGAGCCCCTTTCCAGTAGTGTTTAAATCGCAAAGGGTACTGGGGAAGATGACGATTGCGTTGCATCTTTAGCGTCAGGGTAGATTTGGAGGAAAAACGCATCAGATGAGAGCTGCTGATTTGAAAGCCCCAGATGACAGAAAGCATCTGTTGATGCTCAGTTCAGTTCAAGCCAGACAACACTCACCAAGGAGCAAGGTGCAAGTGTGTTGATTTCAGAAGGACGTGAACCTTGTGTGTTGATTCCATTCTGCTGTTCTCGAGATTTAGTTGCTGTCAAGTGCCTGGAGTGGTGCTTTATTTTTTGTTTGCCTCACAATTACATTGGTGGCATGTGCTAATATAAAGAGCTTTAACTTCAAACATTATTGGACTAAAGAGATGAACGGTTGTGTTACGACAGAAAACCAGATTTTTGCCATTTTAAGAGCAACAGTATTCCTCAATCCTGTCTGTTCTGCAGTATTAAGCTAAGAACAGTTAAAACAGGGTAACGGTAATCTGGACCTTAATTTCTGCAGTTCATTTCTTTTAATGTTCTTGTCTGCAAAAACTCAGGAAAGCGATTGTGATTTGTACAGTACCTCAAAGGAATGTGTTGAAAGCACTATGTACTGCTGAGAGTAATGGGATAGGCTTCGATGTTACTTTATATTAAAATGTATGTTTACCTCAACAATTGGAAGATAGCAAGGAAAATTACTTTGAATGTATCCAGAAACATACTGACGTGTGATACAACTGAATATTTACGACTTAAAGTAGAAATGGAAGGATTTTTTTTAAAAAAGATTCTTTTACTAATTATGGGGAATAAACCAGAGCAGAATAGTTCTTTATGTCAAAAACTGCAAGAGTTCTTCGTACATTGCTCCTTGATAATGAAGTGAAAATGTTCTTAAAAGGTACACTGGTTAACGGAAAGCTACTTACTCAGTTTATGTTAGTACCTAGAACACTCAGCCACAAGACCTGTTTAGGACCCTGGAAGTCACAGTACCTAAAAACTAGGACTGCCTTTTACTGCATAGGGTGGTGGTGATGTTGGTTTGCAAGTTCTCTCTTAAAACTGCTGGGAATGGTGTCATTCTATTCACTAATCTAGCTTATAGGCTTGTCGTGCTGTTTGATAGAATGCAGAAGATAGCAAGCAAAAACAAAGAAATAAATACAAAATCAACCAATCAACTTTATATGTGTGTGTGTGTGTGTGTGTGTGTGTGTATATATATATATATATATATCCACAAAGAACGTCTATATCC